GATGAGGACCCAAAGAACAGGGAACAAGAGTTTTGTGACCAAAAGCCCTCATCAGGGCTTTCATGAACACAAGATGCAACACACTGTCCTAGCCAGGCCACACACTTAGCATACTAGAAGGACATTCTTGGGGGTGTCATCAATATTTTGTGGTATGTAGTCTGTATGTTTTGTGTATGTTTCTCTCTTGTACTGTGGGGGAGCGTGTGTGTGTGTGTGTGTGTGTGTGTGTGTGTGTGTGTGTGTGTGCGCCACACAAACCTGGCAACCTGAGTTCAATACCCCAAACCAACATAAAGTTATAAAGTTATAAGTAGAGAGCCTACTCCACAAGGTTGTTTTCAGAGTCCCACATGCGTACACTGTGGTAGCCATGCCCTCCACACACAAATAATAATTTAAAATACATTAAAAACACTCTGCAAGAAGAGACAGGGCTACAGCAGGCACATTCTGAGAGAGAGACAGAGAGACAGAGAGAGACAAAGACAGAGAGACAGAGAAACAGAGAGCGCTAGCCAATTCTTTTATGAAAAATCCACAGGACCAGGGCTCCAGCTCTGGAGGAAGACAGAACCTAACTGTGACCAGAGCCAGCTAGCAGGCAAGGCGGACAGACACATTTACAAGGGCCAACCTTGTATAACTTTTCACTGCCTAAACTGGACTTTGGCCACTACTCACTCCCCTTTCCTACTCCCCTCTCTAAGAGGCCGACTCTTCAGGTGGCCCACACCTGTAGTTCCAACACTTGGGAGACTGAGACAGGAGGATCTTCTCAAACTCAGAACAACCTAGGCCAGCCAGAGCCACACAGTGCCAGAACAAATAAGCAGCTCACAAAATGGAAGTTGAGTTCTTTACCCAACACTTGGCAAATGAAATACTATGCTTTAACAAACGTCCTAGGGGTTTTTGTTTGCTTTTGGGTTTTGTTTTTTGTTTTTTTGCTTTTGCTTTTTAATCTTCAACAATGGATGATAGTCCCTGGTAGCATTAAAGGTTTTGTGAATTAACATAATAAACATTAAAGTGGGTTTCCATTAAGGAAAACCTCAACGATCAAGAAATATGATCTTGGCTGGGCAATGGTGGCACCACCTTTAATCCCGGCACTTGGGAAGCAGAGGCAAGCAAACCTGAGTCTGAAGCCAGTCTGCTCCATACAGCAAGTTCCAGGACAGGCTATCCAAAGAAACCTTGTCTTGAAAGGAGGGAGGGAGGGAGGGAGGGGGAGGGAGGGGGAGGGGAGGGGGAGGGACTGGGGAAGGAGGGAAGGGGGAGGGAGGGGAGGGGAGGGGGAGGGGGAGGGAGGGGGAGGAAGGGGGAAGGAGGGAAGGGGGAAGGAGGGAAGGAGGGAGGGAAGGAGGGGGAGGGAGGGGGAGGGGGGATGGAGGGGGGAAGGAGGGAAGGGGGGAAGGAGGGAAGGGGGGAGGGAAGGAGGGAGGGGAGAAATACTATCTCACTGGTCACATGCTTTTAATTCCAGTACTTGGGAAACAGAGTCAAACTCTTGAGTTTAAGGCTAAGGTCAGAATTACATGATGAGATGTGTCTCAAAAAAACAAAACAAAACAAAACAAAAACCATAAGCCACACACCTCCAATTCCATCACTGGAGAGCTAGAGGCAGGAAGATCAAAAGTTTAGGGTCACCCCCAAGTTGGAAGCCAGTGTGGGTTACATTATACCCTGTCTCAGGAGAAAAGCTGGCAGAAGGGGGGAGGGAGGGAGGGAGGGAAGGAGGGAGGGAGGGAGGGAGGGAGGGAGGGAGGGAGGGAGGGAGGGAGGGAGGGAGGGAGGAAGATGAGAGAGATGAGTAGAGTGTGTATAGACCTGCCTGTAAACATCTGGGCATTTCTGCCCTTGTGTGAAGCCGTTGCCCACATGGACTGAGTCCCGTCTTTGTCATCGACTGAACCTGTCCACAAAGCTCTGCTTGTGTGGCCGTCTAAGCCCATCCAGAAGTCAGCCAAGACCAGCAAATGACTGCATGTGTGGCAGAACTTAAGTCTGTGAGTGGAAGCCATATCTACCAAGACATCAGATCTACTTATTGTCCATTCAAGGACAACTGTCAGGTTGAGAAGTCAGCCAACTGGAGCCTGGAAAACCAGATTCCAAAGGTTCCAATCAGTCTGTGAATCCTTTTGCTTTCTTCTTGTTATTTACTTATTTATTTATTGTACTTTAGTTGTTTCACCTGTGAAAGACAACGCCATTACCTAAAGTGATCATATATCTGTAAAACCAGACAGAATGGTGAGCACAGAAATGAAGTTATCTGCTATCACCATCATCATAACCACCATGATTATCACCAATGCTTACATTTGCCTGTAGGAAACCCTGACAACTCTCACTCTCAAAATGTCTTGGAAAGGCTATCTAGATTTTTCTTTAAAGCATGCATCTCATTTCAGTCTAACAGTGTGTCACAGCTCCCTGACACCTTCATTCCCAACCAGCCCCTAAGTCAGAAGAGCAAGTAAGCTTTCTGTTCGTCCCTAGAGGCCTGTGTCACACACAGTGCTCTAACTCAGGAGGTATTGTGTGGCCTCTCCCCTGTGATCTCTGCTTCCATTAACATCCATTAGCCAACAGTGAGGCAAAATCTGAGTACCAGAGTAGATAGAACAACCATGAGAAAGATGACTGGCAAGGCAAGCAGGAAGTGACAACTCATTCCTTGGAGCTGGGTGTGGTAGCACACGGCTGTAATCTCAGGAGGCTGAGGCAGGAGGATCACCATGATTTCAAGAGCAGCCTAGGCTACAGGCTGAGTTCCCAGTAAGTCAGAAAAGAGGGTATGACTCATTGTGTGGAATTATAGGCTGACAATCTCCAATTACATCTGGTGGAGAGAGTTCTCTCATCTGTTCTAAGTCAGTCCAACCCCTGTGTTCCCTCCATTGCATCTCAGTTCTAGAGGCATCTTTTCAAACAAGCTTCTCACCCAACCTTCCCGAGGCTGTTTTACTATCCACTCGTGTTACAGGACTACTGGATTTATTGTTGTTGTTTACACGCAGATGGAATGTCCCCATACTTACCTACACACACACACACACACAGGTCTTTGCCAGAAGAGATGTTTGGTTTCCTACAACATATCCTCCTCCCAACATGTAGCAGGTGTTTTTAAAACAATAAGGATACAACTGGCTGACTTAGTTTTGGGTGATGCTGTGAGGTTTGAGAGTTTCATTTTGTATAGTGGTAGGGACTGAACTCCGGCAAGTGCATGCTGGGCAAGCATTCTAGCATTTAGCTACATCCCCATACCCTCACATAAACTAGGGGGTCGACAGTCCCACCCAGCTATTTAAAATCACGGTGTGACCGGCTACACTGCAACCCACCACAGTGAGGTCTGCAGCAGTACTGAGAAAGCAGAAGTATCCTGTGGGGAACGGCCAGGACTTGGTTCTTTCCAAAGTTCTAAGAGGGGGGTTTTAGAAACAAGTCATAAATCCTGGCAAAATATTACTCATACGAATACATTTTTAAACTCATTTAAACACTAACAATAATCTGCAGAGCCTGAAATCAGGCACCTGTCCTGAAAGAGATTCAAGGGGTTGGTTCCAAGGGAGCAGAAGGGCAGATGTCCCCAAATACATGCAATTACTACACAATGAAAATTGTTTCACTGCATTGAAGAGTTTCACAAAGAACAAGAATAATGAATTTGAGGTGCTTCTTGATGATAGAGCATTTGCCTAACATGCAGTCACAAGACTCTATGTTCCATTCCAGCAGAGAGAGAGAGAGAGAGAGAGAGAGAGAGAGAGAGAGAGAGAGAGAGAGAGAGAGAGAGATATTTGCTATTTTCCTTTCTTACAACAATCTTCTCTGGCCCCTTTTGATCTCAAAAGCTCTGGTAAAATGGAGGACACTGGTGGGACACATTCCTTGGCTCTTAGCCCTTTCCTTTCCTGACTTGGGGAAGGGGTGTTATTTTACCTCAAATCAAAAAGCCTCAATTTCCTCCTCTCTGAAAATGCCAGCATGACTACATGCCAAGCACAGTATTAGACCTCAGAAACCAAGATGACTCCACAGGGCCACCTCAAAGAGACAGGACATAACCCGTGGGTCCAGAGACGCAGCTTAACCCCTACAGCACTTACCGCTGGCCTCCATTGTCCTGATGCTCCAAGTAAACAAGACCAGTCCTGCACATCAATGCCCACCCTCCGCGATCAGATTCGGGTTTTTGCTTTTATTTTTTAATAACCCATTAAAACCAAACAAAAAGACATAACCAACGTGGGACGAACATCCAGATGGCTTTACCTAGTTCGCTGTTGTTTTTCCAACCCTTCAGAAAGAAGGGAAATCGGCATTAAAGGGCTAAAACCTAATAATCCTTTCCTGCTAGGAGACGCCTACAGCTTGGATATCGAGAATTTAACTAGTAAGATTACAAAACAGGCTCCAGCAAGAGGAGTTGCAAAGGACGGTGTGAAGGCTCGTGCCCAGTCAGGGTTGGGTCGAGTCCGGTCTGTAAACCAAGGAAGAAGGGTTGAGTCTTCCCGGCGCCCAGACTTGCGCCCGAGACTTTGCAAATAGGGTTTCCAGACTACCGAGCCCACGTTCTAGACTTGGAGTTGCCAACGTGCCCTGACTGGACTGACTCGAGTTGCATTCGGAGTGCGGAAACAGAGATCTTGTCCAACCCCACGTTTTTTCCTCGGTTCATCCCACAGGCAGCGTAGTGGCAGGAGAGCTGCGGAGCTCAGCGCCACTCACTCGAAGCTCTGGCAGGGGATGACACGTCCCGGGAAAAACCGATGGGATCCTCAGCTTCAGCCCCGCTCGCCCCGCCAGCCCGGAATCCCGGAGGCCTGACGCCGAGGTCGCGGGGGTTGCCTCTCGAGCGTCCCCGCGTCCCTTCCCGCCCACGGGGTTTCCTGAATCCGAGCCCAGCGCGCGGCTCGCCACTCGCGGCCGCGTCCACGGTTCTGACAACGCGCGCTGCAGCCCGTCTCGCTCACCTGGCCAGCACAGCACCGGGCAGACATGGCCGCGGCGACGACCTCGGGGACGCTGCCCGCTGGGCCCGCCACTCAAGCCCTCTCGGCTCAGTCCCCGAGCGCGCGTCTGGGAAGCAGGTCTCGCTGGCTCGCCGCGAACCGAGCAGCCCCAGCTGAGAGCTTGCTTACCTCGGCCTCAAAACAACCGCCGCCAAGCCCCGCCCCGCGCCCCAGGCCCCGCCCCAGGACCGCCCCGGCCCACATATCCCGCCCATCTATTAGGCCCCGCCCTTCTGCTGGCCCCGCCCCTCCCCGGGCGGTGCAGCGAGCTCCTTCCTTAGGCACTTCCGTCCGGGTTAGGCGCTGGGAGCCTCTGGGCTTTGCCGGCCCGCCCAGTTCTCACGGCTCCCCTCCGCTCTGGCGCCGGTGAGCTAGAACCGCTGGCCTTCGCTAGTGAAGCCCGGAGCCCTGGTGAGAGACACCCTCCCGACGGTCCCGCGCTGGCTCCACTGGTCCTGGGCTGCGATCGCCTCTCGCTCCACCGGGTCCCAGTTCGGGAAAACCCTTTTGCTCCCCAACCCCGTCACATGCGGGGTCCACCCATCCTCAGAGTCCCAGGCGCCTGGCTGTCCCACCTGCTGTTCCGCGGAACTCTGGGGGGGGGGTCTCCGAATCCAGGGACTCAGTCGGCGTCCTTGCTGCCTCTCACCTGACCCTCGCTGAGGGAGGATTCTAACGATTGTTAGGTGCCGGGGGAGCGCCAGGTTTTCCTCTCTACCTGAATCTCTCCTCACAGTCACTTCAAATGTAAAGCTTTTACTGCTGGTATGAATTTTATTGGCACCGGTCCCTTTTTTTTTTTTTTTTTTTTTTTTTACTTAAAGAGTATTCCGGATAAACATTACTGAGCAAAGTGACAGTGAAAGCCCGAGCTTGCCCTGAGGTCTCGGAAAGTGAAAAGTCAAAGCTGGGAAACCTAGTGTGGGGTCCTCAGGCACAACCCAGGGCACTGGACAGACGGCCTTTGCCAATAGAGATTAAGGAATATTCCGGGTCTTCGATCCAGGAGTTTAGAGTTACATACACAACGGAGCAGGCCCCACTAGGAGGCCAGACGTCGTGAAGACAGTGGCAGAAACTAAAAATAAAGGGGTGTGGGAGGCGGTACACCAAATCAAGTCAGCATCTTGCTGGGTGGCAGCCGGAGACTCAGAGCCAGGAACTCCCTGAGCTTTACAGTGAGCCTCATTGTTTGCTTTAGGAACTTCGAACTTCAGCCCCTGGGGAAACCGGTTGGACACCAGCAGTTTCTGTCTGTGGAAACCGCCCAACAGGTGTAGGCGGGGTGCAAGACCCACAAACCTTTGAGCTGGGACTTCCCGCTCCTTGAGGAGAATCCTCGACAAATATCAATGGGTTAGGGTCGGGGCTCCCCACCGGAGTCCTTTTTTTTTCCTTTTTTTTTTTAGTTGTTGGTTTTTTCGAGACAGGGTTTCTCTGTGGCTTTGGAGGCTGTCCTGGAACTCGCTCGGTAGACCAGGCTGGTCTCGAACTCACAGAGATCCACCTGCCTCTGCCCTCCCGAGTGCTGGGATTAAAGGCGTGCACCACCAACGCCCGGCTCGGAGTCCTTTTTTGGTTGGTTGTTTGCCAGACCAAAGCTAGAATTCAGATCATGATGTCAGTGTCAGGAGAGAGAGCATACATCTTAATGACCTGGAGGTAGAGCACTCGCCCAGCATGTGTGAGTTCCTTCCCCAACATGCCAACAGTAATAAATAGCCTGTGGACATGTCATATGTACACCAAGGTACCAAAAGAGCCAACCAAGAAACAAACAAAAAACATTAACAGAAGCCTGAGCTTCCCAGAGTCAGGAAGTTGCAAATTGCAACTTGACTAAAAACAGGTTGGATTACATTACCTCTTTGAAGCTCTGACTTAACCACCGCTTGTATTAATGAACATGTTTGAATGAAATGAAAAGATAATTTGTGATTTTCTCTCCTGGTCCCGGCCCCTTCAAGTTCTACATGGACTGTGGGGCAAACGCCAGCCAGTTTTACAAATGGCATCAAGAAAACGGATTGCAGCCTGGGATGTATGTAGCTCAGTGTTAGACCCCTTGCCTTGCCTGGTGAGAACTGAAGTTTTCTGAGAACACTGTGGTTCCTCTCCCTTCACACACTGGTATCGAGGTCTGGCAGGCCAGACAGACCTTCATGATTGTGGGAAGATGGAATGTTGTAACGCGAAAATCAAAGTTATCTTGGGCTGTCTTTAGTCCTCGTACTAACCATTTACTTCCCACCTCCAGAATCTGACCTAACATGTTTGTGAATATTAGGTAAAACCTTTGGAATGTACTGCTTAACCGAGCACTAGCTTCCACCCTCAAAGCTGAGTGTTATGATCACATCTTGTAGCTGTTTCCGCACTCTGCTGTGTCCTTCCTATCTAATGTCTCCACCAAAGTCTTTGGTAAATACATTCACTTATGAGTTTCTTTTGTTCTGAGACTATAAAAGTTCATGTACCCTCTCCTGCAATAGACTGTCATTCAAATCAACCTGAAATTATGTTCCCAGGCCCTGGTTATTCGTATTTGACCCTGAATTGGCAATCTCTTGCTCTCTTGAGAGTTAAGAGCTGTTTCTCACATCAGCACTAACAGGCACGGCGCCCCAGGTTCCATTCTCAGATATACAAAAAGAAAGCAAGTAACACCAGCAACAGAGAGAAAGCGTGTAATGGTTTGGAGTCCAAGTTTCCTACGAAAATAAGGGCTTATGGAGTCTGAGAATAGAGCTCAGGGATACAGCACTAGCCTGGCATACAGGAAGCCCTGGGCCCAGCAATGCCAAAGCCATCCCTGTGACTGCTGATGCTATGAAGGCCTTCACAAAGCCCAAAGAATCAAACCCCAAGCCCTGAGCTGCACTTTCAGAGGACTTACTTCTGGCATCCATGCCAAGCCCAGGAAGAGTGTGCATGCTGCTGTGAGGCCAGAACTAGCTCAGAAAGCCAGAGTTCAAGGTCAACTCTCTAGCCAAGACAGGCTTGCCACTCTGATTCCAGGCTAATTCTGTCTCCAGCTCAAACTCCCAAGGGTGCCCAGCCCCTCCAGTCTCTTAATATAGACCTCTGTACTGAAGGACTGGGCTGACCCCTGGACTGCCAGCAGGCTTGTTTGCTACTTGCACAAAGTAACTCTACACAGGGTTTGTTAGCAAGAAGAGAGAGAGAGAGAAAAAAAACTGTGGGCACTCGTCTTAGATCGTCGATCAAAGACCTCAAATTATTGTGGCCAGGCATGGAGGTTTCCTCGCCACTCTGAGGACCTGTCTGGGGTAGAAGCATCCTTTCTAGTCATGGTTAACTAACAAGAATAGAAGAACTGATAGGAGACCAACAGAAGCAGTGGCACCTTAATTCTTTATTATTATTTTGAAGTAGTCTGCATACTTTTTGAAGTGAGACGTGGTGTTCCTAACTTGAAGGTAGTTGTACAGTCGGGCCCTTTTGATGTGGCTCTTTCAGGAACAAGCAGTAACAGATCTATTTCAGTAAGATTGTAGCTCTTGGCAGACCAGGTAAAATAGTCTTCCCACAAAAATTTTCTTAAATTAACTAAACTAGCTTCAGTTTGTATGACATAATTATATATGTGTGCTACATATAAAATTAAAAATAAGTAGCTTGTAATTTGCTTTTTACCCTCCTTGAATTTGAAGATCATTTTTGATAGAGGTAAATATTTAAAAATACCACATACTGAGCTGAAAATAGTGAGAGAGATGTGTGTGTTATTAAATCAAAATGAAAAATAGACAACATCCTCTCCCCTTTTTAGAGACAGGGTCTCTTTAGGTAGCCCTGGATGGTCAGAAGCTCCGGGTAGCTTCAAACTCACAGACATCCACAGAGATCATACCTGACAACAGCCCTCCTTTAAAACTTTTACTTAATTTAGGAATTTCAGTTACAAATTTCACTTCCAATTCAAGAAGTGACTAAACTTTAACAGCTTTGAGGAAGAAAACCAATGATGCATTCTGTTAGGGTTTGCTGTTGCTGTCAGTGTGAGGGGTTGAACCCTGGGCCTGGTGCAATTTAGGTAAGTGCTCTACCCCTCTGCTGAGGCTTTGATTTTTTTTTCTTTTTGGTTTTCGAGACAGGGTTTCTCTGTGTAGTCCTGACTGTCCTGGATCTCACTCTGTAGACCAGGCTGACCCTGAACTCAGAGATCCGCCTGCCTCTGCCTCCCTAGTGCTGGCATTAAAGGCATGGGCCACCCCTGCCCGGCTCCCTCTGCTGAACTTTAAAAATTAGTAATGTTTCTCTATGGTCTTCCTATATGAAGTCTCTTGGGACCTGTGTTGGTTTTTATCAACTTGACACAAACTTAGACACATCTGGAATGAGGGAATCTCAATTGAAAAAAAAATACCCCATCATACTGGCCTGTAGGCAAATCAGTGGGGGATATTTTCTTCTGTGGTGGTTTATGAAGGAGTACCCAGTTACTGCTACCCCTATGCAAATAGTCTGGAATTATCTGAGAAAGCAGGCTGAACTCAGTATGGGAAGCAAGCAGTAAGTAGTGTTCCTCCTTGATGTCTGCTTCCGTGCCTGCCTGCTGCCCCTGCCCTGTCTTCCCTTAGTGGTGAAGTGTGACATGAGAGAAGATGAAACAGATCCTTACCTCCACAAGCTGCCTTTGGTCATGGTGTTTTATCACAGCAATAGAAAAGCAAACAAAGGCAGGAGTTGGTACCAGAGAGTGGACTGCTACAGTGACAGACCTGACCATGCTGTTAGGTGGGATTATGAAGAACTTTGGAACTTTGCACTGAAAAGACCATCGAATAATCAGAGCTTAATGAGCTACTGTGGGAGTTTGGAAGAGAAGATAATGTTGAGAGCAATACGATAATGGAAGCCTGGCTTGTGAAGTTTCAAGAGGGATGTTTGTGAGTTCCTGTCAGACTCTATCAGGGACATTCAGTATTTTGAATTGAGAGTCTATGGTTCTGGTCAGCTGAGGCCAAAGAATTGACTGTAATTAAGAAGAGTCCAGAGCCACTAAAGCAAACCCTTTGCTTAGCTTAGACAATCGATACTCATCACCTGGGGCCCCAGGACTGAAGGGTCCATGGAGAGAAGTTGTGGCTTGGCAACATGT